CCCCAAAACCCCAAAACCCCAAAACCCCGTGAACAGATAGAACAGCATATTAGAGGATTAAATAAAATGAATTCACAGTAGCATTCAAAATAGGTAATGTTTTCTAAAAGTCTGAAATCAAATTCATGCTAAAGTTATCTGTAAGTTACAATTAATTGGCCACAGGATAAATCTCAATTTTAAAAGAAAAATAATTAGGTTCTTCAACTCTATAAGTCCCTAAATATATGCATATTTATTAAACAAATTAAACCTTGAGAGTAGAATTCATTCCGATAATCTTGAAGCTATCAACAAAAGATATATTACATAAATAATAGAAATTTACTTTCTGAAAGATCAAAGAAAAAAGGTAAAGAACAACAGATAGCTGCTAAAAAATGTGTTTGTAAATAACTTATCCTTATAAGTTAAAAGACCTTAACCGAAGTAGAAAAAAATTAATAGTATGAGAAAATAACAGCAATAACAAATACAGTTGCATTATCTGATCTCTTTGATCTTTCAAAATCCATTAATCCTTCTGAATTGGTTCAATAAATCGCCGCTTAACTTCTTCTCATCCCATGGGTTATAAATATTTCTCCCGTTTATTGAATACTAGAAAGTAAGAAGTTTTGTGGGATAATGATCATGCTAAGATGGTAAATATTAAACGAAAGTAATGAAGATAAAAATAATAGGTTAACATTTCTTCATTAAGTAGGATCTGATCATCCAAAAAATATTAGAAAGAATTAGAATGGGTGTATTATAGTGCAAACGAGAAATTAAAAAGATGATTACCACGGGATAAATATGCGCTAAATTAAACTAGAAAAACAACCTCATCAAATAAGTTAGTCAGTACTTAGAACTTCTACAGAACCAACTAGAAATCATTAATAAGAGCAAGAAGTGCATGTCTTCTTTAAACAAAGAATCAAGATTAAGAATGAATAAAAAGAAAAAATCAATTAAAATAAGGTTCTCTCCAATAAGAACATAAGAGTTCAAAATCTTCAATATCTAAATAAAGAAGACTAACAAAATGAAGAGATCAAGATCAAGGAAGTGAGATTCTTTCGAAATCTTTTCTCCCTGAATTCATGATTTAAGGCCTAGGAATTAGCTTAACCTGAGATCTATAAACTATTTTATTTGTATAAATTATATTTTCATTAATAATAATTTGAAAAATAAAATTAATTAAATTATTAAGAATCTCAAAACACAATTAATTAATTAGTTAACAATGATCCAGCTTAAATGGCAATTAGCTAGTAAAGATTATACAATAAAAATAATTTATTGCAAAATGAATGTCCTGAATAATATATTGAAGATAGTCTAATAAATGAATTAGAACAAAATAATTCTAAATTAAATTATAAAATTGTTAAATCATATAATGAATCGAAGATAAATAACTAATTATTTGGAAAATTGAGATACTTAATAATAACATTATTACTGCCAATCATTATTATGATTATAAAATCAGGATTATTAATTAAGATTTTCAATTAACAACAAAAATAGACCTTCAAGCAGAATTGCTTCACAAATAAAATAATTAACTATTTGCTGTGTATTAAAATAAAATAAGTGTGATTAGACAGTCAGAAAACAATGAATTACAAATATTAAAAGATGCTTATAAAACTTAGGTAATCATTTAAGGAATTATAAAACTAAATAAGGATATATTCATCT